TAACTAACTCGATAGTCATTGTCAGGGGGTATTTATATCGATTACTATCCAATAACCGATTAACATCGATAGTAATCCTCTTGCAAATTTTAGTGATAATATAATATAGTTATATTGGGAAGCTTTGGTGCTTATACTACAGCCAATCATACCAACTATAGGAGCATTGTATAAAGTAGGTGGTACACTGTAAATAACAATTGAAAATTCAATAAATCTAGCTGTGCCATATAGTATCAATATATAGAAAGCTATGTACACCAATATAGAAGCAAGAAGAGTGAAAAACTGCCAGAATAAACCAATTTGAGAGAATATAAGATTGCTGCAGGAAGTAGATAGGGGAGTGTAATAATATGAAAATAGATAACAATAGAAAATTGAGATATGAATTGTATTACGGCTGCATCCCAAAAGGTGGCATAAGATACGAACACAATGGCGGCAGTTAATATGTACTAATTAGAAAGAAAATTATGGAAAATAAATAGTTACATGGGTGGAACATGTAATAGTAGGTTGCTCCAACCAACCCTAGCTTGAAGTTGGCTTAAAATAGTTAATGAAAAAGCAATATAGAAAAAATAAGAAGTATAATGCCACATTGGGTGACTAGTTAAAAGTAGTAAAATGTAATTAGAAACTGTATATACAATTGTTATTAGAGAGAATTCTGATTAATAAAATAAAGTTTCTATGTTGGCAATATAAAAAAAAAAAAAAAAAAAAAAAATAGCTCTGTCTAATTGTCGCTGCCTTTTTTCTGTTATTGTTTCTAAATCTAATTGATTAGAAATATTATACTGTGAAAAAAATTCTAATCTAAATTCAATTTTATTCCATCTTTTAATAGTTTTTTCCTCCATTGCCAAATTATCATATATATATCTTTAATTTCTTAAGAAACATTTTTATATTCATTTGCCAAATATCATTTAAGAATTTGTAGCTTTCTATGATTCTATGCAAGTAGACAATGCTTACAACTTGCTCCATAATGCCTATTTTCTAAATAGTTACCAATATCAACATAATTCCAAACTGAATCTTGTTTAGACCCACCACAACATTTCTTTTTAGATTGATTAGGTGAGCTTTCTTTAGATAAGGCATCATGATCATTATTATCTTGAATAGCTATCCCTTAAATTGTAATACAGGCAAATTTGCCTGCGAAGATTTTTACTAATTTTTTTAATTTTTAAATTTTTTAATAAAATTTTAAATATTAAT